CTAATATAGAGTGCAAACCTCTGCCTTCAACGCAGGGGACCTTGAGGCTTACAAAGCAGCGAAATACAACCTCTGAAAATCCAGCAGAAGTGCTAAAAGGGACTAAGATAAAAGGTGGAGTCCACATAGCCCAGCCATGACCCGAGGCGTCTGTGGAATAAAATACACTGTATAAGGGTATAAACATACTATATGTATACTATAAGGGTAAAAACAGGGAAGTGGAACAGTCCACTGCATCACTTTCGGACGACTTTAACACCCTCTATGCTTGGTTTGATGCAAACAACACTGTGCTGGCCACCATAGTGGACAGAGAGGACCTCATACTCACCCTCTCATACTCAACCTCCGTCTCACTCACGGCTATTCTGGGGCAGGCTCCCAGAAAATACTGGGTCCTGGTGGCCTCCCAGGCCGGGCCCTGAAGGCATGTGCTGTCGAACTTGCTGGGGTGTTTCCAAACATCTTCAACATCTTTCCGAGCTGATGCACAGTCCCTAACATTTTCAAGTGCTCCATCATTGTTCCAGTCCCAAAGACAGCAGCAGTCTTCTGCCGTAATGACTTTCGCCCTGTAGCTCTGACATCAGTGATCATAAAGTGCTCAGAACTTTCATCGGTGCCTCCCTCCCTGATACCCTGGAACCCGTACAGTTCACTTGCAGAACAAACAGGGCCACAGATGATGCCATTGCTCTAGCAGTAGACGCTTCTCTTAATCACCTGGACAGGGAAAACACTTATGTGACAATGAACATCATTGACTACAGCTCAGCATTCCACTTCATCATTCCCTCCAAACTGGTCTTAAGGTTCACTAATCTGGGTCTGAAGAACTCTATCTGCAGCTGGATTTATGACTTCCTGACCAACAGGCCACAGGCGATGACAATGGGCAACCACTTCTCCTCTACGTTGATCCTTAACACAGGGACACCTCAGGGCTGTGTCTTTAGCCCCCTCCTGTACTCCCTGTTCACTCACGACCGTAACACCAGGCACAGCTCAAACTCCATCCTTAAGTTTGCTGACGACACAACCATCATGGACCTCATCACAAACAACGATGAGACCGCCTACAGCGATGAGGTGAAAACAGTGGCCAGCGGGTGCAAGGACAATAACTTTTCTCTGAACATCAGCAAAACTAAAGAGATGATTGTAGACTTCAGGAGACAGCAGGGAGACAGACATCCCCCCATCCACATCGGCAACACTGAAGTAGAAAGGGTCAGCAGCTTTAAGTTCCTCGACATCGACACCACAGGGGATCTGTCCTGGTCACTGCACACGGACACTGTAGCCAGGAAAGCTCGCCAGCGGCTATATTTCCTGAGGAGACAAAGGAAGTTTGGCATGAAGACCAGCATCCTCATCAACTTCTACAGATGTACCATCGAGAGCCTGCTGATGAGCTGCATCACAGTGTGGTATGGGAACTGCTCCAGGCACAGTACATCACTGGAAGCAGTCTCCCTTCCCACCAGAACATTTAAAACAGCCGGTGTTTGCAAAAGGCACGCAGCATTGTTAAGGACCACAGCCATTCAGCACACAAACTTTTCTGCCTGCTACTATCTAGCTGACGGAGTAGGAGCCTGACTACCAAAAGACTGAAAGATAGCTTTTACCACCAGGCTGTCAGGCTCCTTGACTTAATATAAACTGGTAAAACAATTGCGCTAAATCCATATCTGTCCCATACAATCCATGCACACGCCCTTAGACACTGTAAGTGTTTATATTCTTATTTTTAACCCTGCACGTGTATATAGTCAAATTCATTGTCAATATTGTACATTATCTGTATGTACTCTATCTTGTTTGTATTGTGTTTCTTTTTTTAGTGTTTTTAGTTTTTCTAGTGCTGAATAGTGAGTTGATTGATTCTTTTTGTCCAAAACCCTTCATTGATAGTTGATTGCGTGTTAACCTGCATGTGACAAATAAACAAATCTGAATCTTAAGCAAGTCTCTTAGAAGACCGTCTTTCACCTGTGCAGTGTTGTCTAAATCAGGAACATCCTGTCTCGGAGTGATGCTGAGAAACTAGTCTGTGCTCTCAGACTACAGGTTTTCTTGTGGTTCCCCGAGTTTCCAGAAGTAGAATGGGAGGCAGAGCCTTCAGTTATCAGCTACTCTGTTGTGGAATCAGCTTCCAGTTTGGGTTCTGGAGGCAGACGCCCTCTCTACTTTAAGATTAGGCTTAAAACTTTCCTCTTTGATAAAGCTTATAGTTAGAGCTGGCTTATCTGTCCCTTAGTGATGCTGCTTTAGGTTTAGACTTCCAGGGGACTTCCAATGATGCACTGAGCTCCTCTCTTCTCTCTCTTCTTTATTTCCTCATACATCTATATACCACCATTGCATGTCATTGACGTCATGTCTTCTCCCCCTTCGCCTTTCACTCCCCCTTGGACTTGTAGTTTTTTCAACATTACAGCTACCGCTAAAGTGCTACAACACTGCATGAGGGGCTACCGAGTATTTCCACAACTGTTTGCCATCTTATCCTATCCTCATCAGCTGAGCACTTACAGTTTTAAATGTTGGCAGTAATGCAATCTGCACTCATCTTGTAAACTTGGACTGTAATCAGTAATGATGAAGGCTGTCGCTGGTCCACTTAAGGTTCTGTTCTGTTTGCGTTTTAAGATAAATCATTATTTTCCACATTTGATGTACTCACTCTCCCTCATGTCTTTTCAGGACATTGTGTGTAATCTGTCTTTCCAGCTGACTGAAAGTGGGGTCAAACTGGCCAACAGTTACTTGCTCAAGCGATGAAATGACAAACATGGTGACATGGATTTTGAAATATGAGGTTACTTCACATTGACAAAGATTTGAAATTGCACGTGTCACACTCATTTTGAACCAGCTCTGTTGGTGTTGGCAGCAGAAAGAGCGTAAAGATGGTAGCATCAGAAAGACTGAAAGTCCACAGCTGGTTTCCTTCTTAGACTGAAAGTTTATACAACTCAAAAATGAATAGTCGGGGTTGGTTTAAATCAGCTTTGTATCAATTCAATCAACAAACTATGACATAGTTTGTTAAAGTCATTGTATATTAAGGCAACTCTCCAGAGGGAAAATGCTAAACTTGGTGCTCATGTTTTCTCAGCCTCAAAGTTATGGTTGCACAAATACAAGTTCTTGTCTTGTACTGTTGCCTAATGAGACCAAAATCTCACCAAAAATGATGTTTGAAGTCATAGTGTGTTGAGGTTGTGTGCTGCTGCTCTGATTGCTGCTTGTGGTCACCTGAGTTTGAACAGGCAGCCAGACCACACACTGAAAAGGGTTGTAAAGTATGCTGTACCACACAGCATCTGCAACAAAGTAAATTACTGACTTGTAGAAAATAACAGCTGACTGGGGATTGAAGATCCAAGTCTCTGTGCAAAGCAGTGCTAAAGAGCAGATCAGCTGTGTGTTTGAGTGCATATATCATCCTCCCAGTGTGGGTGCAGCAGGCCGAGCGTCCCTCAACTCTGCTCCATGAGCTCTGACCCCTCCTATGTCTGGCCCCCAGTAGGGTGTGCTTCCTTTGTGCTTCTGAAGATGTTTGTTGGTATGTGTAAGACACTGCTCATAGCACCAGATATTATCTTGAAAAAATGCAACCAAGAAGTGTCTTGACTAGTGTTCTCTATTCTCGCTTTGCCAACCAATTTTGTAATACATAATGGTTTAGCTGCACCTCACGATCATTCCGCTACTGGGGTTCATAAAACACTCTGGCTTGTTTGTATTTCTTTGAACCATTTACAGTCGTCCTGGGTGGGGCTCAACGACAGACGCAGCTTTGGTGTTCACTTAAAAAAGTGATTGGTGTAATTGTTGTGGTGAAACATTTAAATGCAGGGAGACGAGCGCTGTGATTAAAATAGATAACCCCCTATAAAACATAAGCAGAACAGCCCTACTGCAAAACTTTAAGTTTCATTTTCAGTGCGGTAGGTAGCAGCACAGAGCTTGTTGTTGTTTCCTGTGGTGAGAAAAGCTGTAACGCACTGATGGCTGAAGAGAAGGAGAATAGAGATTATCGGCCAATGGTGGTTGTTCTCTAATGAAGTAAAAAAAGACATCGGAAGGATTTCAGCACCAAACAAAGACCTCCAAACAGCTGCCGTCTTGCTTGTCTGCTTTAACTCAACACTGCACTTCGTTATGTCTCCAGCAAAACAATAACCAAGTTTGAAGAGGATCAGATGCACGGTTGTTGAGATATGTCCACTCACATAGACGCAGACTCCTTGAATTATAGTTAGATATTACATTTTCAACAGTTGTTTTCAAAACTGTTTTCAAGTAAAAAGCCTCCGGTCTGTTTCACTTGGTGCTGTCCTTATTGATAATGATTTTGTTTATTTATTGCTATATATGGACCCCTCTGTTGTCTCGAAATTGTTTTCAATTGTACAAAATAAGGATTTGTGAAGGGAGCTGTAGCTGCTCAGTGACATTCTCAGTATCTTTGAGTCCCAATATTTTTGTTTTCCAAGTGCAGAAAAATGTTTCACATAATATTATTTTCTATAAGGCAGTCAGTCTTTCCCAGTCAAAGTGCTAAACACATGAATATGTTGTTACCCCTGTATGTTTTGCCATCTTGCAACAGTCTGAACAGGTGCACTGTGGGTGTGCTTCTGAGTTCATGGGAATAATAGCATTGAATACTGAATATTGAAGGTAAACTACGATTTTCAAAGCAGAAAGATAGATGACATTCATCTAAAACAGTGCTTTACTTCAACTACAGCTCCAATACACTTTTGCTGTGGACACTGAGGCATCAAAAGATGTTTTTGTTTCTGGTAAAGCTTTCATGAAGGTCACATATTCTTTCTTATAATTAGTGGGTATATTTTAACATGAATCATTGTTCTTGCCATAAGACCATAATTCTGTAAGTTAGCATTTTTGTCAAAGCAGTGTTCACATCAGCGCTGGGTTTCACTGAGTGTTTTGCTGTCTTGTGTTGTCCTCTGAAGGGATCTACTTGTTGGACATGATCTACATCGACTCAGCCTATCCTGCATCTGACAGTATCATAGAAACGGAGCAGCGGACTAATCAGATGAATAACCTTCTGAGAGTCATCTCCGACCTGCAAATGTCATGTAACTATGGTAAGCAATATAAACAATACACACATTATCCTGTAGTGGTGAAGTCATTGCTGGTATTGGTTGCAAGAGATGGAGACTACAATTTATTGATCCTTCAGCGTCACATGATAGGACTGCAAACTGAGCTAGCAGCAGAGATGCTAACAGCTTCACAGGGCCGCGATAAACCACAAAGAAATAGAAACACGAACAGTACTGTTCCAAACCCAGCATAGAGCAACCTGTAGTTTTCATTTTCATAATGGTGAAAGGACTTATTGTTTTTGCTTGATAATGGATCCAAATACACAACTGTATAGTGGTCCTGAGGTGCAAAATACAACATTAGACACAACACAGCAACATTTTAGAAAACACAACAAAATGGAAAACACCACATTTCTGTTATTTAAATCAAAATAATAAATATAATCCTTGCATGTGTAATTCAGTTTGTCTAATGTACTTTTGAGGCTGGAAAAATAAAGGGACTGTGTTGAAAATGACCGTAGTTCCTAAATGGTTAAACGAATATTTTTGTTAAACCCAGTGAATTAAAGCTGAACGTCTGTACTTCGATCACTTCTTGATTGCTGTATTTTATTTTAAATCAGTTGTGCTCATGTACAGAGAACAGACAACATTTTAACTGGCCAAATATTTATTACCTGTTTGGTATCTAATACCCAGACATTTATCCACACCTAACAGTTTCGAAGAATCACATGCACTAATGTGTGCACATGGCTGGTTTGGCAAAAAACTCTGAACAGAGAAGCTCAGATTCCAACTCACATAATGCACATAGTTGTTTGCTGTTACATTGATGCTATAGGTATATTCAATGTCTCACATATTATACCTGTAAAGGAACTGATTTCAATTTTCTATAAAAACAAAAAAAAAAAGAAAGAAAGAAAAAAAAAAAGTCTTTAACAGTATGAAAAAGTTTGAAATGTGTTTCCAAAAGTTTACAGTTCTTTTTCAAGACTGTCATTGGCAGTATTATTACTTATAAAATGTTATTGTATGGTCATCTGGTCATTAGTAAAAAATGAATAGGCCTTATCTGATCATCCTGCATTTAAAGTTGCCTGATGTGAAGGAGAATTAGGCATAGCCTTCAAGTACAAATCCATTACACTGAAACACCACTTTTTTCATATTACGTTTACCTTTCAGTGTTTCCAAATGACTAAAGCTTATTACAACTCTTTGTCTAATCAAATTTGTTTATGAAGAGGTCAGAAACACTTCAGGATTTTCAAGACATTTTCATTGATGGCTACAACCAGAAAGATCAACAGAGTACATGAAATGTTTATGAACTGTATCTGAAGCATTCAATGATAAGTACTGTACCTCACCAAATACTGTTCTGACTCACAGCTAAGAAGTTGATCACATTCCAATGCTACTATAATTTCCCCCTAATGGTTGTAGATTTGAGTCAGTTGAGGTGAAACTGATTTTGTCTGTTAATGCACTGCAGACTCTGTGTCCTTGTCATGGCACACAGCTACTCAAAATAACACCATGACATCCCTTAGACTTTAACAAACCACTGAAACTACATGTGATTGAAACTGAGATGGTTGGAAAGATGAGGCAGAGCAAGTGTTAATAATTGTGAGTCAGTATAGATATTCCGGTAGTTGTGAGTACTTAAATGAGCTTATATTATGTTCTATATACATATTTTTAGGTTATTTGCATTTGTATTCCACTTGTTTTTGCACTGCACTTTTTTGACCTTTTATTTAAAGCAAATCCAGTAAAAAAAATAAAATAAAAAATAATAATAACTTAAATTAAAAAGTAAGGTGTCAAATTGAAAGCACCTTTTTCCAACTGTTCTTCAGATTACTTGGTGACTTTGCCACATGTCCAGAAGTACTTGTTGTCAGTTCGCTACATCGAGGAACTCCAGAAATTTGTAGAGGACGACAACTTCAAGTAAGTTTTCTATCTGTGAATGGCATGAAATATTTAAATTCATTCATGTTTTTGAGAACATGAAGGTAGTCTCTGTCCACTTTGATCATGACGCAAGCTTTTCTTTAGCACCTCCAAACATGGAAGTGTGTGTAAGAATGATGGAGGTCAACTCTCAGGAAGATGGATGGAAAATGACAGGCCAAAGGTTTTATCTTTCTCCACAGGGAGTTCATGTGTCCAGGAGGCACTGGTCTCTTCAGAAATATGTTTGGCTGTCTGCCAAGGCTTGTGATGCTGGATTTAGGACTGAGATGTCATTTTAGGATTGCACAGTGGCTCAGTTGTTAGCACTGTCGCCTCAAAGCTAGAAGATGGTTGGTGGTTTGTGTCCCGGCCTGGGCCCCCCACGACCCTAATGAAGATGAAGCGGTGTATACGCAATGGATGGGTGTCATTTCAGGGCTTTGGTTATATTTGCTCTCACTTTTTTCAGACTACGGTTTCGGGGTGGACATGAAGAATACATCAGGCGTATTAATCATCAACAGCCAGTGGGTGCTTTTGGCAGCGGTAGAACCAAAACAAAGGGGCTAAAACGGGGACTAAATAGCGTTAAGAGGAAGTTTCACATCCTTTTCTATCATTTTATTTTATTTTAGGTTTTCTTTCCAAATTTTGGGAAAAGGTACTTTTAGAAAATATCTTCCTGACACTCTGTTATCAACAGTGGTCAAGTCTATTTAATCTCCGACAACACAATGACAGATTCGCCTTGGTAAAATGTCTATCTACATTTTTGCTGCAGCAGTTTAAACTGTGCAAGTGGTGCAGGAGAAAACAATCTATTGGGAGCTGCAGGACGGCCGGTGCTTTTAAGAGGGCACCATTAACTTGCAAGCACTGACATCAGTCTGTGGAAATACAATATCCAGACCAGTGCTTTTGAACTGAAGTTGCAATGTGAGGGGAGCTTTTCTGCAGGACATGTGTGCAGACGAGTCCCCAATAATGTGTTTAGTAATGAGTCACTCAGAGACCTGCTGGCTCAGCAGTAGTGAGCAGCAGTACAGTATATTCTGCTGTGAAGTTTTCCATTGTTAGTGGTGATGAAATGGAAAAAAGGCCTCAAAGTGTATTATAATATTATACCTACATTACATGACCACATTTCACAACCAGAAAGAACTTAGCATTCATTTGTGCTGTCATCAGTATTACAACTGGATTCTCTTTTCGGTCTGTATTTGTTTGCGTTTTGGGAAACTGCCAAAGTATGCCTTTATTAGAGGGGTGTTTGTTCAGTGTTTTTGGGGGGTCATTTTGGGAGCTGCAGTTTGTGCTGCTGTTGAATTGTATTGCATTGTACTTTTGTACTGTTTCTATTATTTGTCCTAATAGCAGCAACGCTTCCTGGTTCAATGCAGTACATACAGTTTAACAGCACCACAAACTATAGCCTCCAGAAAGATCATTAAGTTAAATCAGCACCTCTCTGAAAGAGTTTCAACTAAAACTGAACTCATACAGGCAGTGTAGTGCTGGATTGGTTAAAACATCAGCTGTTAGCCATCTGTAAGATGGAATACAAACTGATAAATGTGGCTGAAATGCTGCCTCTGTAGACAGACCTTCAGAAGCTTCAAGTGCCAAGCGAATTAATTCTAGCTTAAAGCTGGCCAGAACCAAGGATTTCACATGGGGAATCCCATCTTTCCCATTATAATGCTAACATGAACTCATTTCATAACTATGCATCAATATTTAAACTAATTAAGTGTTAAACTTTTGCTGTTGACACCAAAGCCATCAATGTGCATTGTATTTCTGTGTGGACAATAGTTAAGCAGAGCGCAGCAGCGAGTTGGTGCAGCTGAAAAAATCATTTGTGTTTCAGGCTGTCTCTGAAGATTGAACCCGGCAGCAGTTCCCCTCGCATCGCTTCTTCTAAAGAAGACCTGGCAGGTAAGATATACATGGATTAGCTATAATGATGCAGTGGGTTTCCAGTTCTTTGTTTTTAGTCAAAAATCAGAGTCCCAAGTTATAAACAGTGCATAGTATCCATATCGCATGTTAGTGTGCACTCCGCCAAGAAATAATCAGATTCATAAAACTGTGCACACACCCTCCTTCACACACGTAGTCCGCTCATTCCACTCTCATGAAATATTGATGTATGTATTGTTCCTGTGGAGGATGGAGACAGTGTTGCAGACACAACAAAGCTTGCGAGGCTGGCCACCGCAGAAGCTGTTAATGCAGCAAGCAGGAGGATTTCCACAGAAACTTCTCCAAACAGAACAATGTGGTCAGACATGGAACTATGCATAGCTGCACTGCCAGAGTGTTGACCAACTGACGAAGGTTTAAGTTGTAGTTAGGGAAATATTCAAAATATTTGAAGATTTGGTTAGAAATCTTCCAACATTCCAGTTCTGTAAAGAAATGTGTTGAGATTTTCCTCATGGCTGTGATGAAAAGGATATTCAGACTTACTAACAGGCATAGTCTAGCCAGACAAGCCAGACTTTCCAGAATTTACCTCATGATGCATCTTGGCCTCTCATGTTGCGGTGAGCTCCAACAGGACCACATGTCAGCGTCACACAGCCACAGCCATCCCTCTGGGAATGTGGTGATGATTGATCCGATGCTCAATAGTTGAATAATAGTTGAATGCTGAGCCACAGCAGGGAAATTGTTTGGATTTGAGTTGGTCTTTATCTTAGATGCTAGAGGTGCTTATGAAATAATTATTGTCTTACACATACAAAAAACACTGCTCGCCAGTTTCTAACATGTTGTCTGACTTACTAGATGTAGATTTCTACTTTCTCTGTGTTTATGTTTTCACAATCCCCTTAACTACGGGGAAATAACAGTAACCTTCAAGCAGCTACCAACACACTGAAAATGACAAGTTTTACATCAGATTTAGCAGACCTGATTGTTTATTTTTCTGTGAATTCTCCATTGTTATTGCAGTGCTTCCCTCCTTGCATGCAGATGTTCCACCAAAGCAATCCCCCTGTCACTATTTTGCAGAGGGTACCATTGTTACATCCTGGGCTCAACATCATTCAAAACAGTTTTGATTAGTTACAGAAACACAAACAAGCTGCAGCATTAATTTCCCCTATATCAGAACGGTAATGAGGGGCTGACACAGTGCCGTGGATATGAGAAAATAATGGTCATTGTTTATTCATACTTATGAGACAGCTGCTTTAAAGGTCACAAACCATTAACATAATTATGAGACAATTAAATGCTTAATGATTAAATGATAAGATACAAAGTCAGAAGTACGAGAAAAGGTTTGTCTTTTTTTCCTTGGTCAATACAATGTGCCTTACTACTCTGAGTGAACAGAAATGTGTTTCATGTGTCTCTAATTCCCACGATGGACGAGCGCATGGACAGAGAGACTTTTCATGAATTAGTAAAAATTACCCATCAATGTAGATCATCAGCCCAAAGGAGCAGCAATACTGAAGAATGTAGGTGTGTTTTCTGATTCAGAGACTAGATGTTGATAGTTGGACTGCTTGTCTACCTGGGCCAAGATAGAGCAATCAGTTTTCATAAGAACCTCTTTGGTATGTGAATTTGCCACCTTTTCAAACACCAAAAGCACCTGACAATTCTTAACACGTTCTTGGTAACTTTAACTGATGTGCGTATTAATGTGATTACACTGAATGTATGATTTTATGTAGTTGGATTTCCAAAGCTTTCCCAGCCTGGCAATCTAAAGAAACACATGCTGCTATGGTGGTAAATAAAAAAGTCTTTATGTTTTAAAAGTTTCAATACAATGTAACTGGCAATTAGGGAATCTGACTGATTGAAACTTCTGCCTTAATTTTAGGTAAATTACCTCATTTTATTCATAGCCAGTCAATCCTTTATGTGAGTCATGTTGAGCTAATGGCTGAATAACTTGTCCCATGAGCAACTTAACCATGTAACTTATGGCAGCCTGACAGCAGCAACGTGTCAGCTATTGATCTTTTTCCATAAACTCATGTCTGGCAGGCTGGCCAGCCACATGGTGGGATTTGTTTGGAATGGTTACCTGGTTACTCCTATTCCTGTTCTCCCTACCACTCAGCGCTCAATTTAGTGTAATTACAACTGAAAAATTTGGTGGAATTAATCTTTACAGCGTAATTAGCTAATTACCACTGGACTGACTGGAGGGGTCTGTACAGTAAAGGAAAGAAATGGAAGGTTTCAATTTTAGTGCACAGTCATTACAAAAGCATCTTTGTCTGCCAAGGCTGTAGCAGGCTGCACTCACTACAACACATGGAAAAGTCTGGCTGGAAACAGCGTGTTGCCTTAGGGTGAACCTCTGGTTTCCATCATCATGACAGATATATCTGCTCACTTTTTCGTTATCATGAGAATATTCTTTTTCCTTTTTTTGTGATACACCAGCTAATCTCATAATAAACTTCACTGTGTCGATACGTTTTCACAAGATCAGAAGGCTTGACATGTTACATGTAGGAGAAGTTCTTGACTTGTGCAAAAAGTCAGCTTGTGTTGTATACCCAATATCCAGTCTTTCAGCTGTAACCAAAACAAGAGTATGTATTTGCATTCTTTCATCTATTGTTGCAAATTTTTGACTTAATTCACATAAAACCTTAAAGAGACAATTTGCGTGACATGATTTGAACCATTCAGCCTGTGACGAGAGTCAAGTTAGGATAAGGAAAAGCAGAAAATCTTTTGCTTTAATGTTCTTTTTCATTTTTCTCTCAAATGCTCCATCTTTAGTGAAGTGTAACTCTTCTTCACTGGAGCCCCCTTTTCAAATATAGTTTTAGCAGTAGACAACAGAGGAGCAAGAGCATTATTCCTTAATGCATTCCCTCTTATTTATGATTAATTTTAATTACAAATTAATTTCTATATGTAGACTTGTCAGAAAGACTGTAGAAAAGTACAACAGAGACAAGTTACGTCGTGGGCAAGAGTCTGGCTGATGTGGAGCTAATTTTACAACTTCACATACAGTTGAGTTATTTAATCAATACATTGATACACAACACATAGAATAGAATAGAATAGAATAGAATAGAATAGAATAGAATGCCTTTATTGTCGCTGTATTTGATACAGCAAAGTTCGGAGCGCTGCTCCAGTTGGTGCATTGTAAGACAAAAAGTACAAAGTACAAAAAGAGAATGTACAATAATAGAAGGTATTTTACAAATATTCATATATATAAATATACAACAGTTAGAATTATCAGGAGATGCATTTTTTTTTCCACACTGATGAATATTATTGCACAGCTATTTCACATTGGTAAGGTTTATTGCACACATATTTTAGTGTATTTATGGGGATCAGTGGTTGAGTTAAGTCTCCTAGTTGTGATGGTTTATTATGGTGACAGCTCTAGGACAGAAACTGTCTCTGAGTCTGCTTGTTCGGGCTTTGAGTGACCTGTAGAGCCTGCCAGAGGGCAACAGGTCAAACAGGTGGTGTCCGCGGTGGGAGGAGTCCTTAATAATGTTACTAGCTCTGCTGTGATAGCGAGAGCTAACAGAGTCCTCTGGGCAGAGCAGAGAGCAGCCAGTGATCCTTTGGGCTGTGCTGATCAGCCTCTGTAGAGCTCTCCTGTTTGCTGCAGAGCAACCGGGGTACCACAGTGAGATCTCCACAGGGACTCGGTTGAAGGCCACAAGCAGCTTCTCCTTCAGTTTGTTTTTCCTGAGCACTCTCAGGAAATGGAGTCGCTGCTGGGCCTTCTTCACCACCGCTGTGGTGTTGACAGACCAGGAGAGGTGGTCACAGATGAGTACGCCCAGACATTTGAACAAGAGGACCCTTTCCACTCGTTCCCCATTGATGGAGAGCAGGGCTGGCTCTGCACTGCCCTTTCTAAAGTCCATGACCAGTTCCTTTGTTTTTGTGGTGTTCAGTGTGAGGTTGTTCACTGAATGCCACACCGACAGTCTCTCGACCTTGTCTCTATAAGCAGATTCAAGCAGACCTGACAACGGTGATGTCATCAGCAAAGTTTATAATGGAGTTTGAGAGGTGGGTCGGGGTGCAGTTTTGTGTGTACAGCGAGTACAACAGTGGACTCAATACCTTGTGGAGAACCAGTGTTGAGTTTGAGGGTGGGGGAGAGGTGGGGGCCTAGTCTGACAGACTGTGAGCGATCTGTCAGAAAGTCCTTAATCCAGATGCAGATGGAGATGGAGAGGCCTAGGTGAGAAATTTTCTCAACTAGAATGTCCGGGATGATTGTATTAAAGCTTTTTAACGCTGATGTAAACTAATATGCTTCTGAAATATATTGGTTTAAAAGTGGACACCAAATATTACACGATGTACAAGTACCTCAAAATAGTACCACTGTTAGCAAGAAAGGTAGACTTTTAAAAAGAACGCACATATGTTGCCTTGTTTAAAAAAAAAAACAAGAAAGAAACGAAAAGAAAAAAGAGAGTAAGTGAGAGAGAAGAAAAACATGAACACTTTGAACCAGTGGACTATTACTCTTTATTGTTGGTACCTTCTGCAGATGTGAGCCTAACTGATGAAAAATGTGTATTTCTGTGTATTCTTCTGCCTTTTATTTACTATTAAAGGTCAAGATATAAAATAGTCTGTTGCTCTGGATGAACTTGTGCATATAGTTGTTTTTACTTGTGTGATACACTGATGGGACAAACATTCTGACCACTCCCAGATGAAGTGACTAACTGTGATTATCTTGTGAGTCCAATCCTGGTCTGGGAGGAATTAGACAGCATGTGAACTGTCGGCTCTCGGTCAACATGTTGGATGTTGCAGAAATGGCAGGTGTAAAGACCTGGGAAACTGAACAGAGAAAAGTGGTTATGTCCAGATTACTGGGTCTGAGCGTCTATCAAACTGCAAAGCTAGTGGGGTACTCACTACTGCTGAATGGGAGCACCCCACTGGCTTTGCAGTTTGATAGATGCTCAGATAGATGCTACTGACAGCCGTCTGTGGAGGGACAAACAAAGAACTGGGGACAGGCTGTTGTGAGATGTACCGAATTAGGTCCAAGCCACTGTGGATCTAATTTGCAACTTACAGGACTTAAAGGATCTACTGTATCTGTTGCAAACATCCTGGTGCCTGATACCACAGGGAACTTTAGGAGGACCAGTGGAGTCCAGGCCTTGGAGTGTCAGAGCTCTTTTAGTGGCACACAAAGAAGCAAAGGCATCAGCATAATGTTTTGTATGTGACTGTCAGGGATAAGGATGTCAAGCGTGTGTAATGACAGGTTATGGTGTTCTTCTGGTGCTGCTCAGATGAACATTTGCACTTATATAATACTGCAGGAAAAGGCTGTTCTGGCTTTGTCCACTGGCTTGTTGGCTTATTCAGCATAAACAAGTCTCATGCACTTTACACACTGCCAAACAGGAGAATTTGATTTACTCACTTGCTCCATGTACAAGTCAGTGAAAGATGTGGTGGACTGAACAGAACATGTGCGAGGAGAAAAACACGAGAAATCCCATGTGACACAAGGCTTTCGTCCAGCTAGTACATCACTTATGTGTGTGTCAACAGGGAGAAAACCCTCTGATGGTGGTTCTGTGTGTGACCTCAGCTGTGATCATTCTAACAATATTAGCAATTTGAATGATTACGTTCCATAAACCATTTATTTTGGGAAGCTTGTAACTGATCTTCTCCTAACTAAAGTTTCAGACCACAGTCTGGTTAATTCATCCAAGCTGTTTCATAATGTCTCAGCAGCAGTTCAAGCAGCTGAGTAAGCAAACACGTGTGCTTAGAGATGAGCTAAGAGCTGACATCAATCACCTAAAATATGAGTTTTCAAAGGATTTTTTGAGCATGTCCAGCTCTTGTTGTGAAATCACAGCTGTTTTTACTGCTTTGTTGAATCTTCCAGTCCTATTTTGGCATGTACTTTAGCCTTCCTCTCAGCTGTTTAAAAAAACAGCACTGGTTCCAGGCACACAATATCATCAGGGAGGCATCTGATCAGTATCAGATTCATTAAAGAATACAGTCAGAGTGGAGGATGAATGTTTCATCTCCACCCACAAGAAGAGCAGGGAGGCCAGCAAACCATGATGTAAACATCATGGAGTCACTCTGAGATTGTATAAAAAAACAGAAGAACAATCTATCTGCCACATCCCCTCAAATCTGTGTGCAAATGTATCAAGAACCCCTGGTGCTGTTTTAAAGGCCAAGTGTGCTCACACTGGATATTAAGTTAATTTAGGTTTTTTTCTCTTTACTGCACTTTTTTATTAATTTACCTGATCCATAAAAAACACCGCTGACCTGCACCAAGACATTTGCAGCATATGCAGCAGAACCAACAGCCTCTTCTGGTTCATGGTTTGTCCCTCCTTGGACCACTGCTGACTGGGACCTGTGCAAAACCAGCAGTTTAAGGAATCCTCTGACCCCGTCTTCTGGCCATAACAATTTGGCTCTTGACAAAGTGGTTTGGGCCTTTTCACCATGTTTACTATGACCTAACCCTCTAATGTATCCAGACCTTGTTCATGTTGTGCCTTGGCAGTGTGTATCTACATATATTAAGGAAAGGTGTCACCTAAAATATAGTCATGGAAAAAATGATTAGACCACCCTTGATTTCTTCAATTTCTTGTTCATTTTAATGCCTCGTACCACTAAAGGTATATTACATGAAAGAATACAATGAACATGACAAAAAATGCAGCTGATTGCATAATACTTTATGTCCTATTTGACATGCTTAAGCTTAATTGCATTCCCTGTAGGATATATAAGAGGCCATTTCATGTCATAAGCAGCACTGCACATGCAAAGGCCTGGAGTGGTTTCCTGCTTATATTCAAGCCGTAGTACAACTCAGAAGTTGTCAGCTCTCACATAATACCTAAAACAAAAAAAACTATGTGAAGCCACAAAGGCAGCCATCTTGGCACTGCTGGAAATTGGCATGAGTGAGAGACAGGTAGCAACAAAACTGAAGATCTCCAAGACAGCCGTTCATTACACCAAGAAAAAACAAGCGAACATGGTACTACCAAATTACTAGCTGGTCGCGGCAGGACACGTCCTTCCACCCCGCCACATGACTGTGCACTTATTTGTTCCTATGTCAGGAATCGTCGTCAGACCTCCAGGGACCTTAAAAATGAGTGGGCACTAGATTTTGGTCTTATGCTTTAGTCTGCCATGTTTATGTCCCCAACTAAGTCTCTGAACCAGATTCTTGACATGAGGTTTCTTAAGCAGCGACAAAATCATGTTTACAGGCTGTAAGTCTTAAAATAGTTGATGGCTAGTCTGGAGATTTCTTCCCTTGGGTAAGGAGAATACCTGAAGTATAATTTAGTGAAGTTTTAATGACTTCTATTTTGCTGAATGTGCAGTTCTCAAGCAAGCTTCACCACTCCAAACTACCATGAGTCTTTACAAGCTAATAATGGAGTAATTAAACCACATTAAGCCAGCATCTCTCCCAGAGGCATCCCATTATCCCACCACATTACACGGAATTCCTTGATTTTTGCTTCCTGTGTTAATATTTATGATTACAATATTGTAGAGAAGCAAAACTTTTCCTCTTGCTGGTGGGATTTCTAATTCTGAACATTTTTTATAGTACACAATGGGTAGGAATATACCAGTGTTTCCCCTAACAAAACAGCCAGCAGACACAATTACATACAGCTGCCTGTATATCCTCTGTCCCGTGCTGGGCTCCTGTTTCCACCTCTCTTAAGGCTCAGAGTACTTACTACACCAAAATACCTTCATGCAGTGTTCTAAGCAAAGCTTGATAAACACAGACAGCCCAGCTGGATCCAAACTGGTCACATTGAGCTAACTGAATGTCCCCAGAGGATTTCCACTGAGAGGGAGCAGAGAGTGACTCAGAGGTTCCACTGGCACAAAATGCATTAATTCACCAGTGCACCAACAGCCCTGCCAGGAGGTAGAACTGTGGCCGGCACATCTATTCACATTCAAACAATCACTATGCATCAGACTTGTAGATAGAGTCATTGCAATAGTGCCTGATTTAAAGGTCTTGTATCTTCTATGTAAAGGATCATGTAGTGGCTTTGGTGAAAAGCATTTTTTAAGAAGTACTTAAATACAACACGCTATGTAAAAAAAATCAGTGTTTGCCCATGATATTCACAAACAGCTTTGTTAAAATGTAAAAAATATAAAACAATATAGAGAAGTGCTATGGTGCACCATGAATCTGGAGCCAGATGTTGTCTGCTGTGTGTACTGTGCTAAGCAGTCTTATTTCCAAAAGACCTGTGATACGTCTATGAAAGAACCAAAATGCCTGGGTTTGAATGACTTCATCATAGACAATTAGGAGTCATTGGAAACCCAAGACTGTCATGATATATGTGATCTTTACAAGTGTATGTAAACGTTTGTTTATGACGTACGTGACCTATGTTGCCTGAGAACAAAATCCAGGGCAAATGAAGAACTTGTCAGCCTGACTCCTGCTCTTTAAGCTTGCTGCTTTGAACACTATGTAATAACTGAAGAAGACTCCAATCATAGATATGTATAATAAAGGTTTTTTAATAAAGGCTTTTATTATACATATCTATGACTCCAATAATTTTAGCAGAATTTTATCTACATCTTCTCTTCTTCTCTCATCTGTTCTCATGTGTCAACATAGTAAGAGGATGCTGTTCAGAGACATTTCTATATAAAAAAACAAGATCTATGTGAAACAATGAAAGTGAGAGATAAAAATAGGATTTCAAAATTTGGAAAGAGGGATATGCCTCCCCGTCTTCAGTAGAAAATTGCGCTCCTGTTATCTTTTTGCTTTCTTAGCACAAATTTCAAACCTCCGCAGAAGAAGCTGAGAGTATAGGGAAAAACATGTCCGAAGATTTATGTCAGCACCAGCCACCTTGTCAGAATCTAGAGATCACACAGTAATGTGCAATCTTGCCTATAATTACACACACTGCTTTGAATAGAACAGCAGTATTGTAACACAGAGTAATGTTGAGCTGTTTTCTGTATTTCAGGTCTGTCTGAAGTATCTGTCTCTATGAGGTATAACCGACGGCCTACCTGCCCTGACGCCTCCGTAGGGGTTCATATTTCCACTCCCCCCCCTTCCCACCACAGGAAGAGCCATAGTCTGGGAAACAAGTGAGTACAAAAATGTTTACTTGTAGAAGCCTAAACCTCAGTCAGATATGGGACATCTAGTGGCCACAATAGGAAACTATAAAAACACTAGTGAAAACTTGTGTCGTCCTCGTCAATTCTCTGTTTGTAGTTGTGTGTGCGTGTGTGTGTGTGTGTGTGTGTGTGTGTGTGTGTATGTGTTTATGACACTGTTGATTCTATTTTGAAACTCCATCTGTGTTTAGATTCCAAGCTGAATATTGGCGAGACAGTGAGAACATACCTGAGACTGCATAAAGATACCCAACATTTCAAAATTTTATTTAAGTATGCACACCTTTACCAAAACACTGATTAAACTACAGCGTACATGGTGCTGCAGTAAGAGCTGAAGTTTGCATGCTTCACATTTAAGCATTTAATGTCTGCATTTTATTCCTAGAGACAAACAGCGTGTAGTAATCACAATAAGGCGACAGCTGGGTGCCAAAAAAAGAGCTGACCTTCTTTTTTAAAAAGAATACTGCAGCAAGTTGAATAAGATATTCGTTTATGCTATTAACAATCATGGTTCACATTTGTCAGCATTTCTTTAAATGTGCCAGAAACTGCAATCCTTTGGAAAGATGTTGTGAAACCACCGAATGATGGTCAGAAATTGCAGACAGAAGGCAGCAAAACAGCAAAAAAATAGATATGGTTAATGATCCACAGTAGAGCCTTTTAACCTAAACTAGGTTCTACAAAGCAACTTCCAATGTGTTTCACCCGTTCACACTTGCACCAGTGACAGCAGAGCTGCCATGCAATGTGCATCTCAGACAGATCTGAAGAGTGTTAGATTAATATCTGAATCAATCACTGAATGTAACTCTGGATATTTCATAAGCAATTATCGACCAACTGATGTCTTGAAGCATCACAGCAGCAGAAACCATAAATGCTTCTCTACATCGAGTGACGTACGCATTTATGCACACAGCACAGTAACTTCAGGAACATAGGATCTAATGGTCAGTTATGTTCTGTGTTATTCTAGCTATTCCACACAGATTCTCAGTTTACACAGCAGAATTACTTGTAATGAAGCTTCTCTGGATAAATCCTGAGCTCCGTCAGAGGTCTGAGGACATTTATATTAAGATAAGCCTGTCATTGCACACACAGTTACATTTTAGTGTTTTAATTGTATCATGGAAGTGGAGTTATGGAGGGGGACATTTTAGCAGCTCACTTTAATTGAAGCTTACACTCTTGGCACTGATAAATCGTGGACAGTTCCCCTTTCATCTAAAGCTCTATTCACCTTACACCTACGTTTCCTGTAGTTTTGGCCAACACTCCTAATATTCTACTCATGTTGGTGCACGTCGTTTGTAAATGTAGTAGCCTATCATAAAGGTTGCAGATACTGTGGTTAGACTGACCTTCAAAGCTTTGAAACGTGTGTTGCTTGCTGTAGTTTTTACCATTGATTGAAAACGGAAACAAGATAGGTTGGGGGAAAAACAGCTTTTAAGGAAACATTCCCCATGGGTGTCATGTCTGCCGCATCTGTATGTTTTCCTGGTTGCCTAATGGTTGATCTCTGTCCACAGTATGATGTGTCAGTATGGCATGTCAGAGAGCAGGAGTGCGACTTTCCCCATAGAGAAAGCACGACACCTGCTGGACGACAGCTTCTTAGAATCTCAGAGTCCAGTCAGAAATGACCCGCACAGTACATCTGTGTCCAACGGCCTGTCATTAGGTATGTCTGTGCTGTGTATGTCTGATGCAAATCGTTTTTGCTTTACAGGACTAAAATATTTATTATAATATGAATATAAATTCTCTTTCATGGCAAATTCTATTCAACATCCTCCTGGATTGTTCCCTTTTCTTATAAAGTTCACTTTTTTTTTTCTTCTTTCTCCCAATAGGCAGCAGTGAGAGCTCGTTTGGGGAGGAGCTGTCACCTGGAATGGAGAGGTATACCATTCATCACATTTTATATTCATTTTTAAGGATTTTATTTACTTTGAAATTACCAATATCCAAAGCATTAATGGGATTTATTTGTCTATTGAGCTTAAAACAAAAAATGTATTTTCTTGTGCTTTTGTCATATTTAAACAACTTCACCATCTCACAGTGATTATAAAGCCTCTGTAAAGGTCTGTTAAATAATAAGGCTGGCAGCATTCTACATTTTTAGTCAGTAAATCCAATGAAATGTATTGAGTTTATTCCTCCTTATCTTCCTCCTGAAGATGTAAGTCTAAATATATGTTGTTTAATGCTGTTCACAGTATCTTTTAGCAGACAGAGGAAATACAGCATTTGTTGCACTATTTTCAGCAGTGGATTAATCCATGTTTGGTGCTTTCATGAGTGCTTCTGACAGCAAGAGTGTGTGCGGGACTAAGTCAAGAACAGTGTGTGTTCTTGGTGGTGTAGGAACGTGTATGCCACTGCAACAGTATGGCTCACTGTTGTGTTTTGAGGAGTTTCTGGTCAGCCAGAGAGTTATATAGCCCTGAAGAAGAACACACACAATACTAACCAGGATACATTCATTGTTTTTTTTTACTCTTTAAATGGGATTTGTTGTTAACAAAAAATATAGAATATTATCAGATTTATCCCGCAAACTTTATGTTTATTTCACAGTAGTCAGTTTCTCTTAGGTTGTAGTGATTGTATCTGTGCCTGCAACATATTCATTATATATGATATCAGTGTATTTGAATGTTGCTAATCATACTGTATATCTATGTTTGTTTCATCAAAAAGATCAGTCTAAAATACAAGTAATATATTGCTATCTCAAAGTGTCAGATATAAAACAGGTTTTAAGTGGACACTATAACATGTTTAATCATGTATCTCAGTAAATGGTTTGAATTGGCTTTAGCTGACTTCTTCTGCGAACACAAAATACACTGAACAGTTCTTCTAACCACAAGGCCAATCCCATGAGCCCCTCAGACTGACTGTGACAATGTGTGACAAACAGGGGCCGTATGTACGCAACACTGGGCCCCAACTGGAGGGTCCCGCTTCGCAACTCTCCCAGGACCCGCAGCTACATTTACAGGTACAGTGAAGTGTCAGAGCAAGAAAACAGTACCACTTTAAAAAAGAGTGAATTCTTTCTGTAGGAGAATACAGTGTAACACTCACTCACAATGTGAATGGTTTCTCTCACCTCATTCCCACAGTGCACTCTCAGATCAGTTTGGCTCTGGACTGTATGTCCTACTTACCTGAAACATAACTTTACTAGTTACAGGCACAATGACAGAATTTTGTGAGATAGCCAGGCATTTATGTGTATAAAGGGTCCGTTGACAGTTTCTTCTCAGGCTGTATGACTGTTGGGGCAGCGTGCGCATCGAAACAAGGTCTGGCCAGGACTGGGATCAAAATTGTAAAATTTCAGGCAGATCAGAGCATGTGCAGGCTAGTTAGACGGCACTTCCTGTTTTATGGTGAGTCGTGGCAGCATGCATATCAGGCAGAGGCGAAAATCAGAAGGATTCCAATAGGTTCCTTTTACTTTCAGTGTTTGGACCCTAAATACAGCTGTTTACAGTTTTCTGGAGTTACAGTGCTACAAAAATTTTCCACAAGCTGTAAAAGACTGTTAAAAAGAGACCAGGGGTAGATTTTTACAGCTCCTCTTCTCAGCTCCTGAAAACATTTATTGTTGTCATGTTTTCAGAAGCCTTCTAGTTGCTTCAGTTTACCTTTGAAAATGGAAAATAATCAAGGTATGACCACAAGTTCTGCAGAGCATTTTTGAGCATTTTTCTGAAAATAAGAGCTGATACAACATTACATGATCACCTTTGTGTTTCGGTCTTTTTTAGGCAATCTGTAAGAAATATTGTTAGTCAAATGTTCTCAGTTTATTTAGTACCCAACTACAAGTTGTGATGCACTTTCTTTGAACACCAGTGTGTTCTGATTATTATACTCACTGCAGAGTTCAAACAGTGTTTGTGTAACAAACAAGGAGTTGAATTTTTCATCCAGAAAATGGCCCTTTGATTGGTCTGAATATAAGGACTTGTGCTTACAAGGGTACTTCAAAAAGTTCTCAGCCTGACCTGGAAATGAGGGATGGAAATCCCATTTCAGGGTATAACTGTATACTGTAAAGCCTTATATCCCTGTGCACAAAAACTCCAATGTTTGTCATCATTTCTTTGCAAAAGGAATGAAAGCCTTGAGCTGGTGTACTGATTTTCCGGGACAATGAATCCGTCTACACATCACAGATGGCAGAAACCCCGAATGTGACTTTGAAATGTCTGATGCACCTGACTAACCCGACGTGACACCATCTGATCGCTGTTTCCCAAACTGAAGTCAGAGTTCAGAAGATCAGAGTGATGATGAAGTCATACTCACTGCTGACAAGAATCTAGAGGCTTAGGATGTGACCTTCTTCCATGAAGGCACAGCGAAGCTTGAACATTGGTACATCAAGTGCATTGAAGTTAAAGGAGACTATGGTGAAAATAATGCAAGAACAATGTTTCCCCCTTTGACTTTTTCTGGTGAGGCCAAAAACTTTTTGAAGTAACCTCCTAGACAAATATGTTTTAAAAGTTGGCCTTCTTCAGGACTGCTCCTCCACTGTGTCTAGATAATCCTGGAGGTCCATAGGAAAGCCCGTAAATAATCCATAGAAAGCTGTCATCTTTTCTCAAGTAAAGCTGAAAAATAGTTTGAAAACCCTTATGAGGTCAAAAGGTAATTAAACACTCACTAGTACACGGTTGATGGAGGGAGCCTCCAACCTGAGTTTTTGTCAAAATCAGTCAATATCTCTGTTCTGGGAGTGCACTGAGAATCCAGTGTAGGCACACAAATCAAACAAAGGGAAAAGTCTTCATGGCACTATTCCAGCGTGTCATGTGCACGCTCAAACTTTTGCACAGGACAGAAAAAAGAGGCAGCATGGGCGAGATGGGGGCCAGTAAATCTGGCATGTTATCTGAATATTTTAACGAGCCGAATATCAGTGATCTTCAGAACCACACATCTCACCTTCAAGGTTTTTGGGTTTTTTTGCTCTTCTTTTCAATAATATCACAAAAAAGGAAATCAAACAAGACATTTTGTTAGGTTTGTTATTAGTAGTAGTACTGTTGTTATTATTCCTACTAGTAGAACTAAGTGTGCATAAATGTAATCTGTTAAATGTTTTAATGAGTGAGACTTCATCTGGTCGCCCGGGTGGATCACGTCTTTAACCTGCTTTACTTTGCTGTTACAGTCCGTGTCAGTCACTGCAGAGGTGGTGTGTTTTTTTGCTTTGTTTTTGATCATCTTGCATTTAGTCTACATATGTGTCCTGTATTGGATTGTATTATTTATTGTCTGGACAATGAAGTCAGTAAAAGCAGTCAGCAGTCTTTTCATGATTCTTTTTTGAATGGAAATTTTAAATATATGCTTAAATTTGCTTTTAATATATATATTTAAACATATTGCTGTTGATGAAATAACACTAAAACAGTAAGTTTTGATCTAGAACTAAAACTGTGACTTTTAAACCAAATTTGATCTAATTTTAGCTGAGATAACTGTGTCCCATTTAGACCTCTTTTAGATGTCTAGTCAATGAAAAATCGCTCAATGGGTTCTTGTGTCGAACAGAAAATTGCACACACTGACCTCAGAGTACTGCTTCAGCTGCTCACAGTGATTAATCCTCTCCACTTCTTAACACCCTCAGCTCCACTGCTACCAACACTTGCTATGGATGCAGCGATTCGAGCAATGTAACCATTGAAGGACCCCTGCGAAGGAAAACAATGCTGAAGGAGGGACGAAAGCCCAAGGTATAGTGAGCTTTGTACAAGTTGTCCTGTTGCCTCAAATATGCACGACCAACAGCTGGGTTCAGAATATCCATGCATTTTCTGTCTTTCAGTTGTCATCATGGACCAGATTTTGGATCACTTTGTCTGGGTCAACACTGACATTCTATGGGGCAAAAGCATTGAGAGCCTCTGAGAGGAAACATGTAAGTTTCTAACAGTTCCATAGTGTTATTGCTTATTTGGATGTCTGCTCTACTTTTAATCTTTTGGATCTAATAGTTAAGCTGGATGTACCTGAGGCTCCATGTCTTTCACTTGTCCATCACTTTCAGCATAATCAGTGTCATTTAACATCGGGGCAGTAGGGGGTGGTATATGCACTGATTTTATTTCCATGGTAACACTAGTTGACTGGGTCAAACATTAAACTGTGTTTTATTTATAACTACACAACTCTTTCACTGACTGTCACAGTGACAGTAAAATGTTTGCCTTATGCCACGACAGAAAAGGAGCTCATTTCTTACCGTTGTGTGAAAATTCATTCTCATGTTTTCCATCACTGACATGTCCTGGATATGGATTTATTTGCTACTCCAGTGTTTTCCATTTTTCTCCCGGATGTGCTTCACAAAGTTTGAGGATATGTGGCAGTTTTTTTCCATTGCTTTAATGATTAGATTAGATTAGATTAGATTAGATTAGATTAGATTAGATTAGATTTGATTTGATTTGATTTGATTTGATTATTAGTTATTGGTAGGGTACCTCAGGGAAATAGTTGATTCTTGAAATTCTTGCCATTACCAGTATTTCAACCCAGTATGTTTAGCATCTTGTTGTCTCATTTTTCATAGCATGTGCGGGTTTGTATGTAAGATCTTCAAATTGGCTTGTGGCTAGCATTGAAATCAATATTTACATTTTGATCTGATGATATCAGCCTTGTTTTGAAGAAAACCATGCATGACTGACAGTGTCTCATCATGTCTTGGCTAAATTATTAACCCTGTGTCTGTAACCCTATGACTTGCTAAAGATGGAAGGTTGGTATGTTTCAGAAAAAAATAGGGTACTGAGCATTCTCAAATGTCCATAGCTGCCTGACCATACCTTTACCAAACCTGCTTCACCACGTCAGGGGTCACCTCTGGATAACAGATTTGCCCCACAGTTAGGATACCAAGTACATGAGTCAGAGCATCTCTGAAACAGCAAGACTTATGGGCTTCTTCCAGTCAGTCAGCATTGATGTGTAGAGGGGAAAACCATCCAACTCACAACCTGCGAAGGTACTTTAAAAAGTTCTCAGCTTCACTGTGCTGTTTGGCACATCGTCCTGGAGCAACAACGTGCCAGCCAAAAGCTTTGCTCCTGTTTCTCTTTAATTGCTTCAGATATTTGAGTTTTTGTGGACAGTGATATAAGACTCTTTACTATACAACTATACCCCAATGTGGGAGTCCTCCAACTTATTCCTGAGTGAGGCCAAGAACTTTTTGAAGTACCCTCATACTGGACTTAAAAGATCTGCTGCTGACATCTTGACACATCAGGGCATCTTTAGAACACCTGCAGAATCCAGGCCTTTCGTTGTCATAATGTTTTGCCTAATCGCACAAATGTACTCAAAGTTTCTGTCCTGGTAAATGAGTCAAATGTCCAAGATGCAGTGAGCACAAGTGGAGTAACTCATTCACCACTGTTTGTTTACTGCTGTTTTGACAGTTTAGTTTTTCTGTCTTTACTATGAATCTGATGCACTGTACTTCTGTATCTACAACAGTACAAGTCAAGCCCCTGTAAGAAGGTATGTGTGACTGGATGGATGGTGGTGTTGCCGGATGACCCAGCCAGACCCAACATCTTCCACCTCAATGACCCAGACAAAGGTCAGCGTCACACCACTAACAGAGCTTCTGCTGTTATTTGTGTCTTAATTCCGTTCAGTTCAGATACTCACAGAGTAAATATGCATCATTTTTCAGGCAATGTTTACAAGTTCCAGACTGGATCCAGGTTTTCAGCAATCATCTGGCACAAAAACCTGGAAGAGGCTTGTAGGAGCAGTAGACCTCAGGTATGTTCAGCACATGTACCATAATGAGACTGGACCATGAGTCTGTTTTAGTCAAGCAAAACAGTATTTCCTCTTCAGAGCAATCAGAAATACATGCTTTTTGAAAGACGATATTAAAAATGCAGTCGCTAAAGTAGAAACTCAACACCTGTGAAAACTGACACGATATAAAACACACTTGACTGTGGACACTGATAGCAGCAGCGTCTTTTTAGTGGCTTAAATAAGCCTAGGTCTCTACAAATGTCTGACTGATGACTGTGCTCTTGGATCTACAAGGTACTTGATTTAATTGGTTTATTCTGTAGATACAGCTTATCTTGTTTTTGTTTTTTTTCTATTCATCATGAATACCTGTTTTATTCTCTCAACAGATACCAGCAAACCTCATGTCATTCGAATGAGAGCAGACTTTACCCAGCAGGACATTACTGTGCCAAACCCATTTGTTTGGGAAGTATTGACTCAATGATCAAACACAAAGGAAATGGTGGTATCTACTTAAATGGGAGCAACAAGAAGCATCTAACACTGCAGCAGAAGCTCTGTGCCACTGGACATGTGGCTGTAACACCAACACACCTGCTGTGTTCTTTACCAGGACTAAATATAATGTGAGTTGTGAAAAATCCAGTCAAGGGAAGACTTTGCTGAGGTTGGTTTCTATCTCTAAGCTTCCTTTTTTCTCTGTTATTTGTTACGCTGCTATACTGTAAACATGTGAGCAAACACATAGGTTTTTGGCCCATGTTGGGTTTCTGAGTGGCTGAAAAGATGCGTCAGTGCACAAACGTGGATGACAGTGTTAGCTGACTGATGGCTGACGCTGATCCTCATTTCACAGACTAGCGTTGTACAGCCATCAAACTGAGCTCGAGTTTTCAATAAGGAGAACTGTTGCTCAAGTGAAAAATAAAAAATAAAATAGTGAAACTGCTATTGTTAAGCAAAAGAAAAATAATGGATGCCTGCTTGTTTTGTTGTCAAATCGAGTGAAAGATCAGCATTTCAACATCATGTCGAGGAGAAAAGTAGCAGTGCACATCCCCCACTCATGAATCTGGGTCTGTTTGTGCCATGAGGATGAAAAACAGGACCCCGTCTCAAGGCTTCATTATTATAATTAAAGATCAGCACTGCACTTACAAGGACAGACAATGAGTCCTCATCACCTTCAGCTCTGTGACATGCAACTGAACTAAATTAGTTCCAAAATATAGGATTTGTATTTATACACAAAACATAAAGCTTGCTTTATGAGCTGGTGTGAAATTGGAAACAATACTCAACATGGTGAAAATTACGTTGCAAAGGCCACCCAGCTATTATCTGTGCTGAGGCAGCTGGTCAAGTGAACTTACAGCAATTTACAATGAAGTACCAAGTTTTCAACAATCATGTATGTGTATATACTGTATTTATTTGTAAAAAGAGTTTATTTTTTGACAATTGGCTATCAATGGAAAAAATGGTGTGATGGAGTATCACTGATTCAGCATTTGCTGCAGAAAGCTGCTGCTCAGCGACAGTCTCGGTGGGAAGCCACCCTAAAATTTGGGCTGACTCCTGATCTCCAACTGAAGGACAATGAGATAAGGGAAGACTCCAGCATTGGTACGGGCAAATAATCTGCTTTAAATGCAAATGTTGTTTTTATTATTATTATAAAGGATAATTCTGCTTTGTTACAGCCTGGATTAAACATCTTTAAATCTAAATTTAGCTGGCCTATGTTCCACTTCTGTTGGTGGTGAATTATGGGTTATGGCCAAAGGACTGAGATTGCAGTTACAAGAGTCAAAGTTAGTATTCTTATGCGAGATAAGAGCTAGACTGTGTCATGTACTGTCCAACAAAGTTCTGATAGGCTCTCCTGGAAGACATTTGTTAATGAAAGAAACATGGAAAGTTATAGAAATAATTGTGTAAAAAATTCTAATTCAATACTGACAGGAGTATCTTCAAGCATTTATGCTATATTACTTTTAATATTACTTTTCAAAACAGACTGTCCAACAATCACACTGTCTGGTGGGACTGTAGGCCAGAAGAACTTCTCTCCAAAGTTGCCTTTTCCATTCTTTACACAATTATGTCTGCCATTTTTTTGTACGATAAACTGTGTGCCGCACCTAGAACGTCATAGAGAAAAGACTGTTTAAAAGTGTGCGTCATTATTAAACCCATGAGCATGACAACTTCACTAAAAAGAAGTCTGGCAGTCAACACCGTGAGCAGTCAGACAATCAGACAGGTTGAAACTAATTTCCAGATTATTCTAAATTAATTAATAGAAGAAAGAACAGCAGTATATTTATAACCCAAACTGTCTTGGGCCCATCTTGAAGAGGAATGCAATTCAAATCTGGCAAACTGCCTGTTAAATGACTTTTCAAATAAAGAATAAATGAAAGGGGCTGATTAACTGTTGCTCAACAAAAACTAGTGGGTCCCAAGAACTAGTGTGTGTAGTGCAGGGTCTGAAAAGTCAGCAAAGGACAGCACTTAATATGGTTTTGTCATGAGTGATGACTGTGCTGTTGGTGTGGTTATCTGGACTTCTTCCTAACTTGGCCATTATTGTACACATTGCTTCACTGACATACGTTGTTTCCAAACCATCTTGTTTTTGGCTCAGATTTGGTTGTAGAGGAGTTCCATGTTCACAGATGTCTTTTTCAATTTAGATTTAGTGCCATCATTAATTATACCAATACAGGCCGAGACTATGAAAATACTATCCAAGTTGTGACAACCCAGAATTATCCTTGAAGAGTAGAACTAATGTAAATGAAGTTAAACATTTACTAATAGATGTCATATTTCTAATGTCCCTGTTGTAACTCATTGTAACTGTCAATCATATATTATATAAATCAAAACAGTGGCAAAAAATATTGTAAAACAAGAAATGAAATCATCACTTAAGTAATCTAATCAGTTTAATGTTCTTTGTTTGTTTGTATTTTTCAGAACTTGTTTAGGTATTGTCCTTCACTCAGTTTTAAGTGCAGTTGTTCCTGCAGTATTGTCGCCTGTCTCCAGATGGATGCAGTCAGAAAGGCTCTTTTGTATTCCAGAACATTATTTTGGTGATGATGTCTTTTTAAGTCCATTTACCAGAAATCACGTCTTTCACATCATAGCAAATCATTCTGCTAGTCATACCACTGTATTTTGGAACAGGCATTTACTGGTGGTACTATTCCAACCATTCACTGGTTTCCATTCAGTCTGTCAATTACACTTTAGCAGACTGTCGAAACTTGCTTGAGTCTTTTGACTGATATATTGCTGTACAGCTGATTGCTGATATAAATATATCTGCATGACTTTAGGCTCAAAGGGTTTGTTGGTCCACCACTAATATTTCATCAGCTGTGAGGTGGGTGGACGGTAAGTTTTGTACAGACGTCCATGTTTTTATTTGTCCAGTACTTGGTTTATGACCAAATAATGACATTCCCATTGGCTTTAACTGGACTTTGTGTTTTGTGCTCCTTAGCACATACTAGCATGCTAAACTAACATGGTGAACATGCTAATTATTATGCTGCCTAACACATGCATGTATGAAGGAGAGCTGGATACAAGACTACAGATGGCGCCACTTGCTTTAAAAATGTAAATGTCAGTCAGGCTGTACATCATGTGTAAAGTCATACGTTCTGACACAGTCAGATTGTAATGTTTACTAAAGTTAGTATAGATTTTTATGCAGTGGATTACACAACCAAAGCAAGTTTCAAGGATCTGCTCAGTGATTTTCAGATTCAATGGAAACCACTGGCTGTCTGAGGTAATAACTTGATAAAAACATTGGTGTGGTCCTGAAAGAATTTGTTTTTCTCTGATCAAGAGACTCTCTGACGATAGGTCATTTTTCATTGACCATAAAATTTCCACTCTTTGTACTCATCCCCTCTGAATGACTGAGCCTGTTTTGTTTTTTTAATAGGTAGTATTGTACTATTGTATCTTTTATTGTAGGTCAGCTGAAAAAGGAGTGATTGACATTGTGGCATCACATTTTTGGACACAAACATTTTGCTGTCATGTCACTCTGCTGCCGTACAGTATATTGACCTTTATTATGTATTTTCTGAAGAGTGAAACTTCAGCAGAATTGAAGAATTCAAGCAATATCATTATCGTTTAATGTCTTGACCAGAGTCAGATGGCAAATCAACTTTTCATCTTGAAAGTATTCAACTGGTGACATTTTTGAATGTGCTGGAATTGTATTGGTATAAAGTGAAATGGTGGCTGTGACTGCTCACTTTAAGGTCAGATTTTAGAAATGATGCGATATCAGGTGAATTTCCATCTGTTGTGGAAAGTTATTCAACACACGAGGATGCTGGTTGCTTTAAGTCTGCTCTTGAGTAAGTGAAGCACATGATGAGCGAGATGGAAGGTCATTTAATCACTAAACTCGTCAGTTATTTAGTCTTTATGTTTATGTACAACCAGGACAGGATGTACAGATGTCATGCAGGGTATGAAGCCTCTATGCGGGTTTAGCAGTGAGAAGAGCAAGAATCTCAATGCAACAAAAGTGCCCTGTGTTTGCTGACACACAAGGTAGAAAACCCATGAAACAAAACTGATCACACCTCTGGCTCAGGTGGTAGAGTGTGTTGTCCTGACTTGAGTCCAGTTGAACACATTTTGCATATTTTGAAGACAAAGTAGAGCAACATAAAGTTTCATGTTTCAAATTATAGTTTCATGGGTGAAAATAGCCGACTGTTCAACTCTTAAGTAATGCAGTTACTGTAAGATACAACTTTTGATAATTTGGCATTGAAATAATATTACAAAGGAGTGTAGTCACTTCTGTTTTTTACTGAAGCTAGGCCAGCAGTCGTCAGGTACTAGACATACAGATGAAATTCATGTTGACCTTCAAAATCTACTGACTCTGGGAAAGACTGCAATGTTTGTGATATACCTGCTGTTCTCTGCATTTGACAAGACTGGATAATAGGGATGACATGTTTTGGTTGCACTTCTATACCACAAAAGAATCTGGTTATAATTGAATAGATAATGTGACATATTACAATTCTGTGAAGTATGAGCAGTTTATTGATCAAATAACCATAATGTAGCAAATATAATACCTGCCAAATCAAATCTATATCAGATATTTATATAAAATCCCAATATTGTCATGAAGCCATCCTGCTCTCTGATGCTTTACAACATTGTGGCCAAAATGACTAATGCTCCCAGAAATATGAAAGAAAGAACTACAAACATGGAAACCGTGGCAAAATATAAGACAGCTGAAGAATTTCTGCCACCTCATGAATTCATTATTTTTTTAGAATCAGTGCAAAGAGCCATTGTTTCTGTGATTATACTAAAGCCTATGCCATTGGGTCTTTGGGTGCAGAACATCAGTTACTCAGGCTAACTGTGGCAACCATGGAAGTGGGTTTAAGATGTTCTTATTTTCAAATTTTTGTTCCTCAAACAAATACGTGGAGATAACCTGTCAGCATGTGCCATTGAGATTTTCAAAATGCTAATGTTAGTTTAAAACATGCGCTGTTCAAAACAAAAACAAAAAAAAAAGATGGATGACACTCA